ATCAGCAGCAGTGGGTGACCCGCTTGTTAGCTTCCTGCCCCCTGCTGGGTGGGTTGTACAGGAGTCCCATCATCATTTTCTACTTATCTGCTACACTTTCGTGTGTTGGATTACCACAGGTATCAACCCTCCGGCCAACCGAACTCAAAAGCGGGCACACCGGCACTCCGCTCTCGGTCGGGACTCTGGTGTCCATTGCCTGAACTCTTCGCTGAAAAGGAGCACGACATGCAGGTCCACAATGCTTATTTATGTATGCATACAATATTTTGCATGTCTTCTGACCAAGTTTCCGCGTGTCGCTTCTGAAAACGACGGACATCACAACTTGATCTCCAAGTGAAAGATGGCTCACGGCTCGCGCTGCCGTGGGCATCACACGGCTCACGGTCGCCGAATGCAAGTCTTGCTGCTCTTATTGCAGGCAAAAAATCAACTTGGGTGCGCGGCTGTGTGGGGCAGGTTGCCTGGGAAGGATCGTGCCTATTTTTGGGTGTGGATGCGCGGGGCAGAGCAGGATTGCACAAGCCAGGCCGAAGGCCGCAAGCCAGGGCATAAGAGGTTACACTGCGTCCACTACGTCTTGACAACAAGACAACGCGGTGTACAACAACGGTTCGGATGAACAAGTCAGGGAGTTGAACTCATCAACAAACAGGTGCGAGATACACAACAGCTGCTGCTCTGCTTGGCTGGTCATACCTCCTCCATGGGATCCGCGTTTTGCGCCGGCTCTGCCATGTTCTGTATTCTCTTCAGACTCTCTCGCTCTGTCCGTCGCACTCCTCGTGTTAACTGCCAGTGTGTGCAGCTGGGTTGTTCTGCCGGCTTAGAACTTGCCGCAAACCGGCAAAAACGAGTGGTCACGGCGATGGTGCGGTCGGGCCTCGCCATCCCACGGTGGCTCCCACAACAAGAGAAAGCAGCGGTACCCAATAGTACATTCACGGTGCCCCCGGAGGTGGGCGATCCAAAATCCAAAAAGGAGAAAAAAATATGTCGGGATCATGATCATTGGTGTGCGCCCCCCACACGTGCACTCCGGACGGCTCTTCTACCCTTAGACGTTTAGGGCATGATATTCATGACTATACACGAAGACAGACGCGAGCTCTGCAAACAAACGCCGCAGCTATGCATACAACAAGTACACGTCTGCGACCTCCGTAGGGACCGATTCCGATCCTACCGGGCACAGCAGCCACTGGTTGTATGTATCCAGTGGGCAAAGCATTCTTTTTTGTCCGCACCAAGGCGCGACAACACTCCCGTGGCTGCTGTGAAGTGTTGCGTCTGATTGACGAGTCGCGACTTCGTTGTTATCTCGAAGGAGTACACCTGGAGGGTTGGCTGTTGTCCTCTCCTCTTGATGTCACGACGCCTACAACACACAGCAGCAACACTGGCGAATTTCCGACAAAAAATGAGGGAACGCGTCTGGCTGGTAAACGGAACATGATGGCTGTGAATCACTGTCAAATGAATGAAATAGATTAACTTGTAGAGACAAGTGTCAACAGTCGCTGGAGTGCTCGGCAAAATGCGGCAAAAGTACAAGTGATGCGGAACGAATAGCCGTAGCCACCACGAGCAATCTCTCTTGTCACAGCCTAGGGCCGGGGAGAATAGCAAGAATTCTGCAGAGATAGGATCTGGAGAAGCTTTCGATGCCGCGTGGCACAAATCGTGTAGGATCTAGAGAGGTTTATACCACGATAAAGCGGCTGACAGGCACTAAAAAAGCCTGCGGATAAAAACACATCATTGAGTCAAGCACGAGTTTCGGCCGACCCATCTTCCGCATGTGCATTACAACATAGCAGCGGCAAATCACACCGACGACTTCTTCCATGACAATGGAGGAGGCGTGAGTCCGCCTTTTTGCTCCTCTGTTCCTCCTACCCAAGCGCCAACGTCACCCTCTTCTTCCGGGAACCCCTCCACAGCTTGTCCGCGGCCCACCGCTCGCTCTGCACCGCGGTCATTTTTGTGTTCTGATCCCGCAAATCTACACCCCGCCCCCGCCCCCCTTGTGACATGGCCTCGTGTTTGAGAAATCCATTGGCTCTGCTGCGACTTCGGAGGACCCGGGGTCAGCATGATTTCCCGAAACGGGGCCCGATGGTCTTCTCCCTGCTCTCCACCCTTCTGCTGAGGATCTTCCCTCAAAGACGCGCCATGTGCCTTCGATGATTCCTTGTCGGGTGTCACGACTATGGGTAGCCCGCCGCCGTAGTTCGTCTACGTGTTGGCAAGGAGTTATGAAAAGCATAACCGACGAAGAATTGAACAAGTCAACTCGATTGTAAGAGAAGCGTGGTGTGTGGGCTCTCGCGCGATAGCAATTGAAAGGCGCGTTTCGTAGCGCAGATAAAGTCCACGCTTGGTGAGCACAGAGCATCCGTCGCACATGGGAAGGACTTGTTGTGTCAACAGAATACCTACCGCTGTTGCCATCAAGAGAAATGCTTTACACCATCAGCGCACGTTCGCCTACTGCTCGAGGCGCGACGGTATGGATCCACGGTACCGAGGGTTCGGACGATGACTGACCGCCAATGTTTAGTTAAAGAAGGTTTCGAGTATAGTGGTTAAAAACGGATCCGGCAAGACAAAGCATGCGTCTTCATCATCAGTGGCGATTGCCCACCAGAATCACGAAGCCAGAACACGTTTTTGTTGCCCTCTCACCTGCCAGTTACGAACGGCCTTGAGTGCAGCGCTAGACAATCCTTTCCAGCCACCGATGACCGCACGACACGCAATTTTCACAGCGCTTGTGATGGCTTGTCGGCCAATCACAGCGATTCTGTCTGCTGTTATCTGGGCGCTGCCGCAATTGTCCTTTGAGTAGACGATGGATCTCGTCCTGGCCTTCGCCTTGCGTTGCCTGGAGTAGTGTCGCCGTGAGAGTTTCCGAGTTCGAGACTCCGGCTTTTCTCTCCCACTACCCAAGCACTTCTCCCCCAATATTGCAGATTCTATACGAACATTGTTTGTCTGCTGACGAGGCTCACCTCTACTGCTGCAGCCGGGATGTCCATTGCCTTTGCTGCCAATAATTCCCCTGTCGGTGTTCCTGTCACTCGCCCCGCTACTGTTGCTACTGGTGCGGCTGCTGCTACTGCTACTGCTGCTGCTACTGCTACTTCTACTGCTACTACTGCTGCTGCTGCTGCTGCCGAATCTTGCCCTCCTCTTGGTATGTCGTGTGTGCTTGGTTCGCCCTCGACGCTCACAACTTGGCTGTTTGCTGCCATCTTTTATACCGAGCTCAGGGTCCCATTCCTCAGAATCGCCTTCGCCGCCTCGTCCAGAGTCTTGCCGGGGGGGATCAACTTTCCCCAATACCTTTTGAAGGGCACTGGACATGCGGTCCGCCATTCCGCTTGTTCGAGGATTTTCCTGGCTCAACGACAAGCGAGTAACACAACGTTCAAAGGACGTTCGTTGACAAAACCTTGCAGAGATGGCGTACTCAGGCGAAATACCCAAAGCGGTATGCGTACGCAACATATGTTATTCCATAACAAGCAAGAAGAAACAAAGGCTGCGAAGCAGTTGCAACAAGGTAGGTGTCGTCAGGGATAGGTGCTAGGATCAGAATGAGGAGCAAAATCATGTGGAACAGGATGATTTCTTAGTTTAGACTATAAATAGCGTGTTTCGAAGTGCAGCCACCGACGACCGAGCTGGGCGCTTGTTCGGCAAAAAGAGTTTTTTTTGCCTTGAAGCAGAACTCCCCCGGCTTCGTTAAAGCACGTTCGAAAATAAACAGACGGAGGGAGTGAACTTTGATTCGCCAAGGGTTTTCTTCCGATCTGAATGCGCCTGTGCTCCGAGTACGCTGCAATTGTGGTGCGCCTTGTTCTTGGAGAGCATTCTGCAAGCACGAAGCGCGATTGTAGCTGATTTTAACAAGGGCAGAAATACGTGCACCAATGAATGTTTTTCTTTACCTGTTGAGGGCTAGATATTGTTATTGGTCCAATTCCAGCATAAGGTGTGAGGAAGTCAGAGATATTACTCGTTACGGTGTCTCCGTCATCGTCATCTCCGTCCCCTGCTTCGACGGCATCTAGCCTATCGTTACGATCATGTTCATCAGCCTCCAGCTTGCTGGGTCGTTGGCGGATGTGCTGCTGGAAGCCCGCCTGATTCGGTAAGATTCAGGCGAGCGGGAAGGACGCAACGGGCGGTGGCACCTGCGTTATCCCAACATTGCAGCAGCTGAAGCTCGCGAACCACCCCGTCCGTGTGCATGCGGCTGTCGACATTGATTGTCTGTTCATGTTATATAATAGTCTAGTCTACCCGCAGCACCTACAACGTGAGAGAATGTGATCCTGAGAATGTGCCCACCACGGAACAGGTCTACCGCACATACTACTGCATGGTCAATTTTGCAAGGCAATATGTCGTCTCTGCTTTAGTGTAGACTAGTAGATTAGTCTTCGTGCAACGAGAATATGTATGATTCGCAGATTGATTGGCATGGAAGTGCTCTTCACCGCCGCTGTACGGCATTATCGTGTATAGAACGGAGTACCTCGGCGCGGTGATCTTCGGCACAATCTTGCACAGCCCATCGCGACTCGTGCGTAAGATGGTTGTAGTGATACTTGTGGCCATTTTCAGCCTCGTAAAGCACCCATCCAGCCCATGCCTCCGCCATCAAAGCGAATATGACTGCTACTTCGCTCGCATGCAATAGCTCCTGCGGAAGAAGTACAATGGGCCATTCAGAGAGCAGAGAGAGTCCTAAGTTCACACCTGCGCTTGCTCCTTGTTGTTTAACAAAATACGTGTAGACTTCTGGCACCATGATTACTTCGAGAGAGAGGGCTTCGACGAGACAGGCGGCCAAACTCGGCATTCGACGTACCGTAACCGTCAGCAGTACTCGCGGAACCCCCACCCCGCCTACTTATTGCTGTGGCAAAACCACGGATCCCCCGGTCCTACTCTCGCCGGTGTGTTGCACCACCCTGTACCACACGGTACACGTTCCACTTGGTGTCGATTAAGCCCTACTGCTGCTGTGTAGCACTAAGAGAGGGAGGAAGAGATGAGATGCACTTGGTTACAGGCGACTTGTATTTCTCTGGGCGTCTTGCGTATTTCCTTGTTGAGTAAAGGTTTCATCGTGACAGGAACATCGCGGCTCATGCGACATCGCGCCTCCGCCATCTCCGAGCAGCGCGACAGGTGCGCCACCCTCACGATGGGGGCGGCCGGCAAAAAACGAAAGAAGGTAAGACGGTGCTTGTGACCTTCTCTTGTCGTGGGTTCCTGTCTCAAGCCTCTAAAGTTGTGCCACAACACCTCGCTGTGATAGGCCAGTTTTGCCCGCAGGATATAACGCGGCTTCTTCATGTTTCATGTGTCTCTTGTTATGTTGTGCCGCAGTTCAGGGTAGTCTCTATGCGTGTTTATTTTTAGAAAGTAAACATAACCTCACAGAAAGACTACCCGTTCGAGATATATCCTCAGTCGAAAGGGATGTGGTGAAGTCTTTCAGTAAGTGGATTGAAACCAACTGGAGACTTGGCATATTTTGAGTTTGTGTAAGCCTAACACTGGGTTATCAGAAATGCCAGTTGGAGCTAAGAACAAAAGCATCTGTATAGGCGGATAGTCTACATTCTTAATATTATGTGGAATGTGGCCTTCACAGGGAACATGGCGCAGTGTAGTTTGAGTATATATTTTTCCTTTGAAATGCTGCTGCTCTATCCATACAAGTAGGCATACAGAGTACCCGATGCGGCAAGTGGGGACACATTCATCTCATTGTAGGTTCAGTTTGGATTATCCACGTTCATGTTGCAGGAGCGTCCTTTTGAAATCCAACAACGCGTTGACGCCCTCCCTGCTGCCAAATGCTCTGCTTGCCGCTACATACCATACTGCTGTATAGATGGAGAAGGATGCCTTGAAGTACGCGAATGGAATTAACAAGAACGTCGCTCGCGAGACGCAGAAGGAGGCGGACGTTATTGCCGAGCGGTTGTTAAAGACATGCGCTGAACCAAAGCGAGACCTCACCAAGATCGCCGCCGAGATCGCAGAACTCCGATCACGGACTTCGGCTCTGAAGCCGGCCCAAAGCTATGAACTCGGGAAGGACTGGCGACTGGTGTTCGCAAGTGACGACGACGCGATAAGTGTCGTCGGCACGGGGTTGCATAAGCTGCCACTCACCAGGATGCAGGTGTGGGAGAAACGAACGTCCACGCGCACAGCGTAGCTGTGTAGCATTTCAGAGAACGACAGCAGATAGCATGAAATGTCTAGGTTATCGGCACCTCAAATCAACGCCGATTCTGCCGGCACAAACGATACCGGCGTTGCCGTCCGTCTCATGAAATATGCCCTGGAACACTTGGCGAGTCCCGTCCGACTCATCGCAACAGTCGTTGTCCTTTCGCTCTTGTATGAAGTGCTAAAGTAGGTCAGCTTTAAGGTGCCTGAAAGGATGGTGTAGTTGGCTCCCAGCGAGCTCTGACGACTTGGCGGTGAACATGTGAAGGGAGCGTCTCTGTCGGCAACGTTCAGCAGCATGGACATCACTGGATACTCAAACAAATAAATCCTGGTATCTCAGGACCATTGACCTGATTGCTCCTGCTGCTTGTGTCTCAACCGTCAACGCACGAGGAAATATCCCAGAACCCATCATCGTTTTGATAACGCCTCTCACCCAACAGGATTTCTTCATGACTCTTGAGGGTGGCAGCAACACGGCGAGAAACATAGTCACGATCGAAGTGCTGCGCGTGATAGGTGCGTGATACAGGTCGCTGGTTCCCCCCCTGTCGCAGTGTTTTCGGCGAGCTGTTCTTTCTTCAGTCACTCAAAGCACGCCCAAAGTTGGTTGGGAACTATGCGTTTGAGTGGCTACATGTAGACATGCGAGGTACCCCCATGTAACGTTAGAAGATTCTGCGTAGGTATTTACAAATCCGGGTTGGATGCCCTATCGGACGGCTGATATCGTGGCGTCAGTCGCTACCAGCGCGCTGATACTAACGCTACATGTAACAATCCAAATCCATCGCCGGGGTCCTTTGTCAAGGTAGCAACACTATGAGTTGAATGGCTTTTCAACTTGAAATGCAGCCGTGCGTCAAACGCTGAAGTATTCTTTCCAATGTGCTTGATTCAGTCCTACTGAGCATCAAAATACACACGCAATCAACTAAATAATCAACGTGGGATATCTTCAACTCTCGGGTGCGTCCACCCTATCGACATAACTGTAGTCTTTTCCGCGCTTCGAAGGTGTTCCAACTCCTGGGGCCGAGTGTCTCTGGTGTCGTTCTCGCCTGAGATTGTACGGGCTACCGCAAATAGTCCCTCACCTCTCGTCGATAACCTCGTGTGTGTTTGCCGCTTTTCTGTCGCTCTTCTACGACTTTATTTCGACGGCCAGGTCCTTTCCCGAACCTTCGCAACACCTTGTCTGGGGACTGCAAGTGAGTACGCGTTGTGGAATTCAGCAGAAAGTGTGGTAGCATCTAATTTTTCATTCAATTGAAGATTAGTTCTTTTTGTAGGAATCCGAATTAATAGACCGCCCCAGCCGCTGCTTGCGGCCACGGACGGCCGTGCGAGCTTGATCACGATCCTTATCAGCAAGAGACATATTCTGCCGGGCGTGGTTGTCCTTCTAGTCAAATGGGCACCACAAACGCTCAGCGACGATTGTATGCACCTCTTGCCTTGGTCATGTCGAACAAGATTCAAGGTTTTCCCACGCCTGAGATTCGAACCCTCTGGCTGTTAACGATCTCACTATCGCGTTGCGCGATCGACGACCATTTGATTTCAGCGAAGAGAGGCGCAGATAAAAACTCCCCACCCCCCCTTCCTCGCGCACGACGCTGCACGTATCGCGGCTGACAGGTCAACAGGCGCGGATTCGTTGAATATCCGCTATACCTCAATGATTGACGGGACGGGGAAAGAGACGGGGGGATCGCAGACGGGAGAACAAGACCGCGTCGTGGAAGTTGATGTTGCGTTCGTGGGGCAAGGGGTATTGGTGTTGGAATCATCGGCGAAGTCCAAGAAACCGTTGTCCCTCGTCTTCGCGAAGGAGCCAGACTTGGAAGGAGAGCTAGCGAAGCTCCGTGTGGCAGGGGACAAGAAAGATGATAAGAAGAAGAAATAATAACGCCTGCGTGTGGTGTTTGAGGCGAAACGAAAGGCGTACTTCAAGAGCTTCCAAGAGCCGTAGTGTCAAAACAGTGCGATGGTAGGTGGATTTTTTCGCACGTGGTAGCGTGAAATTGTCTCCGATAAATGAGACCTATACGAGAGAAACGGATTGCGTCGAGTGGGGTAGCACGTGTTCATCCGAGGTTAACATGTCGTCGACCGAGGATGTCAGCTCGGGGGGTAGTGTGTAGCGCCTGGAGCAATAGTGCGTAACGCCTGGAGCATTTGCTGGCTAGGCTATAGATAGATGACCAGGTTCCAGCTACTGTTGTATTATTTCAGAAACAGTCAATGTGTGAAGGATATGCAAACCCAGACAACTCGTCGCCAAATTACCTTTCTTACCGCTTTGCAACCGTCACCTCTACGGCTGTACGTTGGTCTGCTTGCGGAATGACCATCGATTGTCTGTATTGGATGTCCTGACGTATACTTGTAGCTCTCAAAATTTCTGGCAATTCATTCACGGAACGCCGCGGTCTCTCTCGCCCCGTTTCTGTCTTCTCTCTTCCATTCTCTGCGTTCGGGCAAGATGGCCTACACAGCAGAGGCAACAAGCATTGCTCATGATGTTGTAGTTCAGAACGGGTTGTGACTGGGAGGACTACTGCTGTAGATTACGTATCATACACAACTCCATTGATGACCAGTGTGAGAGTGCGCGAAAACTAGTGAAAACTGCTATGTACTGTGTTCTGTTGTTTTCATAGATAATAGATAGTCTGATAGCTGCGCTCCACATGTATGTACGTACAGGAGTATGCGTACCTGGTCTACAAGAACTTCTAATAAACAGGGCACGTACTAGACTACATGATACCGGAGGTTTGTATTTTCAAATCGAACACAGCATGAAGGCTCGCGGGTTCACTTTCTGGAAGCACTGCCACATGTTGGATTGAGGACCAGATCAGGGGGGGCTATTATCTACCGTGTATAGGGTGTTTCAACTAGGATTTGGTGTGGATAATAGTATAACCAACACATTGTCTGGTAGAGGGTTTAGAAGGTTTAGTTACACTTTGATATCCATGTGTAAGCACTTGTTCCCAAGCATTGTCACTAGTACACCTTGGAGGGGTTTTAGACTGCGTGATACATTGGTTACACAAGATCCCATACACGCGTCTTATATGGTTGTTATTACTACGACACTAAAGCCTACCAGGTATGCAACAAGGAACATATAGACTTTACTATACGTAGCCTCCTTGGACCGAACCGAAAAAATAAAATGGCGTGGGGTGGGGGGGGGGTAGGCGTGCTTCCAGAATTTGAATCCGCGAGCCCTCTTGCTGTTTGCAACTGCTGCTGTTGTGCCCGGCGGAGTCCCTGCTACTGTTGTACCCTCCAACATGCCTCGGAGCCACGCTGTGCACGGTCGGGTCATTGTTCACGCTGATCTCGACTGCTTCTACTGCCAAGTAAGCGAACTCAATGCTAACTCAAAGCTTCCTAAATGCTTCATGCATGCAGTCAGACTACAACACCTGCTATCGTCGGCAGCTATCACCTTGTTTTGACCTGAATTTACATACATTGTAATACAACATTGCCTGTAAAGGTTGGATACCGACAAGTAGCAATCGGGGTGCCACTTCTCCGCCAGTGAATAGAGAAATCGTGCAGGCAACACAGCAGGGTTTATTGAAAAGTTTACGCTAAAGCACCCAGTTAGATACAGATTATATGCAAGGTCCAGACAAAAATCGCGTCCGCTCATTGGGAGAGGCTGTACAGGAGGACGAAGGCTGAGAGGTGATTTGGTTTTGTTAGACAGAAGAGAAGTGTACCCGAATGCATGGGGACATCTTCCTACGCTGAAGCGAAGTCAGTAATTTTTTCCAGTTCTTCAGGCTACGTATGCAGAATTTAACCAACGAGAGGACGCGCGGCTTGGGAGGGTGTGTTCACTCTGTAAGTAAGAGACCGAGAAGAGACATCACAGAGCAGTACATCACACAGCTTACCACCTCAAACAAGCATGGTAGACCAAGGTTACACACGCGCAGTCTCAGACAGCGTAGTCTAGTGACGACTACGGTGCGGTAAACAGACATTTGAGTGCGGTGTCCCCAAGTACCCATTTGGGCGTCCAGTACCAAAAGCATGAATAACAACGCCACGTGAAGGCGACAGACAAGCTTTTTACCAATTCCAGTAGTTCGCGAGGCGTTTTTCCAATTTTTCGTGAAAATAACATTTGAATACTGGGGCACGAAATCTGGAACAAAACCCCTTTCCTAGCTCTTGAGAGAACTCGTGGTGTCTCTCGAGCTCCAAACTCTGAGGGCAATCACCTATGGGGGCAGTCACACTGCCATCGTTTGCCGCTCGGCGGCAGCAAATACTCAAAACAGCAGTGTATCGTTTGCGAACGCGTTAACGACAAGACATATTTTTGTTATATTTCCAATTGTTGAAGTCCGTCGGTCGCATGCCTGCACCTGATGACCTCCAATCCTTGGTCTCAGATAATAATTCCTCTGCGGTCATTCTTTCAACGCGGAAGAGGCTCAGTCGTCTTTCTCTCGAGTGTACTCACGACCGAGCGCTCCCTACTAAAACTTCATCACGAAATGCGGAACAAGCACACCTCGCAGGAGTTGGAATTCCCAGTCTGTTGATAGCCGTTCGTTAGATGTGTAGCGAGGTTATCAGCATCAAGACCAACGGTGCGATCGGGATTTCAGGTAGATATTAAACTCTGGCGGTGTCATGTTGGATTTGGCACAACAGGAAACGTGGTCAAGGGAACCATTTCTCGTCGAGGACAGGGTCGTTTTTCGACCGCGATCGATGGTGTTTTTATGTGTCCACGTAACGGCAGCCTTTCTCCTACCAGTGTCGAGGCCTCACCCGCTTACCACGCGCAGGGTGAGTTGGCAAAACACGACCTCAGAAGCGTTTCTGCCGGCTTTCATCAGGTGGAGCACGTGCGCCTGGGCATCCCAACGTCGGTCCCGTTGGCCGTGCAGCAATGGGACGGGCTGATCGCCGTCAACTACGAGGCCAGGAAGTCTGGCGTAAAGCGCGGCGACAGGACCGCCGCCGCCAAGCAGAAGTGCCCGCAAATCACTCTCGTTCATGTCGAGACCATCGGGGCAGACGACAAGCCGGACGGTGCGGGGACAAGGAATGACAAGGGAGCCTGCAAGGTGTCTCTGGAGAGGTATATACGAATGCAATTTGAGTCTGAAGATGCTGTGACTTGTGGGGGGGGGGTAGAGGC